TTCATTGCAAACGCTTTTGTTTTCTGCTTTGTCCAAATGTTTTAAATGTCATTTCATATTACCCATTCAAGAGGTAAATAAAAAATTTTCTCTGTTTTTAAAGGAAAATGACACCATTTTCTCGTTTCCCTCTTCTAGGACTGTTTCCTTTGAAAATCCAAAAAAAAAAGAAAATCCAAAAGGCCAAAGTCCTCACTCCAGCCTTTTAAGAACGTAAAAGATTCTCTCAGTGGTCTGGGCTTTATTCCTTTTGGTATGTAAACACCTAGGAAGACAGAGCTTCACCTTAGGAGCTTAAAGTAGGTGTATCTACTTGTTTCTAGGGAAAATAAGTTTTATTATTCTTTTGGATGAGGAAAACTAATTAAACAAATGGCTACCCCAATTCCTGAGTGAACTTAGGGTGAGAGAATGTGAAAAAAACAAAAACTCAACCAAGAAGGATCTGGCCACAAACTGTGATGACAGTCCTCCTACAGAAAACTGGTTACCATTAATCCAAATACTAAGCAATAATTGTGCTGCCAAAAGGGAAACAGGCTACTATTGATCCTAAAGCCTCAGGTTTGTTACATGCTAGCTAAAAACTGCATGGTATAAAAGCATTATAATTAATTTAGCTGTATAAACCGTGTGAAATTTTATTCTGATTGGGTAGTTCCTTGTGAACTACCTATATACAACCACTTTATTGTACTTAACTCAATAATGAACAAATTTACTTTCATAACATAGTAAAGTGAGGAGACATCTCTTTCTTGGTAACTTTCTTACTTCCCCAATGATATCTAATAATTCCAACTCCTATGGCCCTTTGTGGGTGTAATTTTGCTCCTTGTTGTTTTTCATAATGATCTCATGCCTAGCATTTCTTAAGTGCGGGAATCCTGAGAGCCTGGGTTAAAATAGTCCTTTGCAGATTTATGTTTGCTTCTCAGACACCTGAACACACTGCCCATCCACAACTACTGTGTTAATTTTTCAGCTAGAGGTTTCCCAGACCATGCAGGTAGAGTAAAATCAAACCCTAAAACTGCATGAGGGCCAACCTGCAGTTACGAATTCTCAGGGAACACTTTTTCCTTCCACTCAGTACCTACCAATGATGTGGGAAACAAAGGCAGAAGAAAAATTATTAAATTTCCTTACTACCTACAGCCCACTGACAAGTCCTTGAAACAGGCAGAGTGACAGTCCTCTAGGGACTCAACTGCCTCAATGTTAATACTTTGCTAAGTGCAAAAGACAACCCTAGCCCCACCCCCACCCCCAGGATCCTGTAAATCTACTTAACATATAAAAACTCCTTTAGAAACTTCCTTTATCTCTAAATCCCCCAAGATACGTGTTGGCAATCACCCCAAACCCAAGCATATGGCCCACTGATATACATCTGAAGGGTCTCATGACTAAGGTTTTATTAACGGTAATAAATGACCTTTTCCCAACAATAGCTAGCCCCCTCAAGGTCCTGGAAACCTCGCTTCCAAATTCCTTAGAGACTTACGCTATCCCTACACCCCCACCCAACTTGAAAGTATATAATGGGCCGCTCCTCATGACCCCGATGCAGCTCTTTCTGCCCCCGGGTCCTGTCCCCGTGCTTTAATAAAACCACCTTTTTGCACCAAAGACATCTCAGGAATTCTTTGTTGGTCATCAGCTTCAAACCCTAATGTTCTTTCCTACATCATCTAAGGCCAAGCCAGACAAGACTAACCTGGTTCTTCCCTTTGCTGGTGAACAGACTGTTATTTTATCCTTTGGATTCAAGTGTTTCAGCATTATGCAGGGGTCTCAGCCGAGCTTATTTCCTCACCCCCTTACTCTCACCTTTTATGAGCTTTACTTTCATTCTGCTGAGCTGCTGCTAAAGCCTAAAGTTCTTTTATTTCAGCAAAAGTCCCCAGGGTGGCCCTAAAGTCAGCTGAAGCTTACCCTGTTCATTTTCAGTTCTTGTTCCCCACCTCACCCCTGCCTCTAACCTGATTTCTCTTACTTTCTTGTGACCTTGTTAAATGTTTTGATCTGGAGGGAGGGTATCTTATTAGATCTTTTTTATCCAGGGTCTTTAAAAATATGGCATCCAGGGGGGCCTGGGTGGCTCAGTCGTTAAGCGTCTGCCTTCAGCTCGGGTCATGATCCCAGGGTCCTGAGATTGAGCCCCGCATCTGGCTCCCTGCTCCACGGGAAGCCTGCTTCTCCTTCTCCCACTCCCCCTGCTTGTGTTCCCTCTCTCGCTATGTCTCTCTCTGTCAAATAAATAAATAAAATCTTAAAAAAAAAAAAATGGCATCCATTATGTTGGTAGAAGGAAATATCTAAGACATTTGCTTTATAATAGCTCTACCCCTTACCAGCCACTATCAAACCTATGGGATAAGATGGAAGTAGACAGAACAGATACTACATAGAATAAAAAATAGAATATTATTGTTCTCAACTAATTCTCTCAGGTATCTTGAGTAAACTGTAAGTACTATGTGTCTCTTCCAAACGTGAATACATAGATATTATAAAACATAATTTACGGTATCTGCTTTACTAAAGGAATGTGTCAAGTATTTACTCTTGCTGTTACTTTTTTCCTCATCTTCCCATTACTTTCAGTAACAAAACTCTTTATCCACAATGTCCTTAATTAAAAGTATTAAGAACTTCTGTTTTCTATTCTCCCCTTCATGGGAATAAATTTTAAATGATATCAATCAATTCACTGGGCCAAGTGATTTAATGCTACATCTATACGATCTGCAGTACCAGCACAATGCTGATACTCCCCATGAGTCAACTCCCCTATGAACAAAGACAGTAACTTCTGATAGAACAAACACAACAGATTTTGATAGAACTATACCTGTTTAAGGACCACGTATTTCTTGGAGGGATATGGGTGAGAATATCAGTACTTGGCTTCCGAAGTACAGGTTAAATTTGCAAGGTGTTGCTAAGCTTGGTCTCTTAAAAACTTGGTTAGCCAAATAAGCCTACTTCAGGAGTACACCCAAATGCTATCTTGGTCGCTTCCAAAAGCCACAGCAGATCTTGAATAGTGTGATTTCTGCTGTTTCACAGCACCCTTTTGTGGCAGTAGCGTGTGCAATTAGAGAGGAGGGAACTGGAAATCAGGACACAGAAAACAAAATAATCCAGTTATATGGAGAGATGGGTGGTCTGGAGCAGTTATCATAGTACCAGTTATTTGGAAGGGGTGTAAGGCAATAGTATCTATTGCTTAAATTGGGGGCAGGACAAAGATTGCTAGAATGTAAGCTCCACCAGAGAAAGAGTCCTCAATGATTTATTTACTCCAGGTACATAATATGCATTCAATAAACCTTTGACTGAATATGGCAGTGCTAGAATATGGGAGGAAAAATTCATTCACAATTTGGGGGCTGAATCAGAGGGACAAGGGAGTCCAGAAGAAGCCTGCCAGTGGAACTGAGTATGTCTGGAAAGGGAGCTAGTTCTGGAGGAAAAGTACACCTGGAAGCTGTGGTATCAAACCTGCTTTCTCACGACCCCAACCACAGTCTCTTACTGGAACATGTCATTCAACCTAGGTTGGATGAGACGCAAATCCTCTCTAGATTTCCAACAATTCTCTAACCATGTAAAAATGTTTCTTCCTAATGTAGCCTATAAATCCTCCTTGTTCCGTACATAAACGCAAGGGAGAGACGGGTGTCGGCACAAAAGCCGGCAAGTGTGCGGCCAGAGCTACAATCCAGTTTCTGCCGCAGCTGCAGCACCTTCCCCATTCCCCAGTCTTGGGGCGTCCATCAAGGGGAGATTTGAAACATGACTTAAAGTGGAAGGCGAAACAAGAACATGTCGGGAGCTCGGGTCCAACTCTTAAAATTCCTGGTTCCAGGGTATCCATTTTGGGTGCGGCTGGCGCCAGCCGTGAACCATCACAGAAACTGGTAAAGGTCGCCAGCTGAAGGCACGGTAGCCAGGAGACCTCTACGTGCGTAGAGTTGGGGCGTTCCCCCCGGGCAGGCAAAACGCCCCCCTCAAAGCGCATTACGTCAACTAGCACAAGAGCCGTTACCTTTGCAGGATAACGCCCTCCATCCACCACGCGACTCCGCTCCACCCTCCCCTTGGGTACACGCATGCACACAAGGGCAAAACGGTGATGTCAGCCCTTCCCGGCACCACCTCGTTGTCGTACATCCAATGGCCTGTCGTAACTGCCGTCAAGAGAGCAGAAGGGCACTCACGCGATACCCCCTACCCTGCTAGCCGGCATACGTGCAGGTCGTTGACGCAGGCCCTGGAGACTGAAGCCAATGAGGAGCGGTGACGTTCCTACGTATTAGGGGGCGCCGCCGCACGTCCCGCTGCGAGTGGACGGAGAGAGTTCGGTTGCACCAACACCGGTACTTACGTGCGGACCGGCGTGTCCTTGGACTTAGAGAGCGGGACGTCCGGCTTGCGAGTGGGTACCTTGGTTTCGCGCGCGACAAAAGAGCGGTGAGCGCGCGGCGCGGGGGCCGCAGCGGGCTGCAAGCCGAGCACGGGGGCGCGCGACTGGTTGAAGAGTGCGCGGGCAGGCGGAGGCCAGCGCCGGCTTCTGCGGGTGGGGCCCACGAGTCACGACCCCAGCTTGTGGTCAGCCAGAACCCGGTGGGCTACGGCTTGAGGTGGGGCGGAACCCCATCTAAGTCGGGGAATGGACTTGTTCAGGGTCCTGAAAGCCCGGAGGAGACCTTGTTGCAATACGACTGAGACCCATAGTTCTCGTAGTCGGGGTTGAGGGGCTGTGGAAGTGACAAGACTTCCCGAGATAAGGGCGGGAAGGTGAGGGACGGCGCGTAGCGCCTCACGTTCTCCTTCAAAGGGAGCAAAAACTGCTGCTCCTCCAAAAAGGGGTTATTTTTCTTCTGGGTCACCTGTCGCTTTTCCCCTTAACCTGCCTAGGCATCTCGGGAAGGTAGGTTTCATCAGTTTTCTTGAAATCGGCCTAAATGGGTGATCTCGTGGTTGACTTCTGAGATCCAGACTGGAGGATGGGGGTCCTTGGGAAACCTCGCAGCCCACCACTGCCCTCCCACCCACACAGCAAGGCAGTTTATAGTGACCTGAGCAGGCTGGATCAAGCACGACTTCTGTTTTTTTAAAACGTATTCTGACTTCTCAGAAGTGGCTTCAATTTGTAGTATGAGTAAATAATTAGGCTTTCTTGAAGGTTGACATTTTGGTAGTTTTGGTTTAATGTAATCATGGTTTTCAACTTACTCAGAGTTGTGACTTTCTGTGACCTTGACCTCAACTTTTGAATTAGAACTAGGTTCCCACTTGGCTTACTTGGGGTTTAATTCCATCACTTGAGCACACATAGATGTGTATTTCAGGAATTTCTCCTTTCACCTAGTGGTTTTGGTACTAAAGAGTGTGTTGCAAGTGTACGGAGTAAAACAAGATTCATCCTGGTACTTACATCCTAGATGTGCAGTGGATTAGTAATTAAGTCACTAGACTGACCACTGATTGGTTTCCATTGGATTTTTACGTGGAAGAAAAAGGTAATAAATGGAGTCTTTCATTTTTTAGATTTAAAAAATGGGTGATGTTGAGAAGGGCAAGAAGATTTTTGTTCAGAAGTGTGCCCAATGCCATACCGTGGAAAAGGGAGGCAAGCACAAGACTGGGCCAAATCTCCATGGTTTATTTGGCCGAAAGACAGGTCAGGCCCCTGGATTTTCTTACACGGATGCCAACAAGAACAAAGGTAAGGGGCTGGGGGCTGGGGTCAGTTTTGAAATAACAGAAGCACAAATTGCATGGATATAACCAATGGTGAGACCTTTATCGGGAGTGTAAAATACTTAACAATACATCCCTCCTTGTTTAGGCATCACCTGGGGAGAAGAGACACTGATGGAGTATTTGGAGAATCCCAAGAAGTACATCCCTGGAACAAAAATGATCTTCGCTGGCATTAAGAAGACAGGGGAAAGAGCAGACTTGATAGCTTATCTCAAAGTAGCTACTAAGGAGTAATAGTTGGCTATTGCCTTATTTATTGCAAAACAAAAGTGTCTCATGACTTTTTTGTGTGTGTACCGTATTTAAATTGATCACATACACCAGAATTTAGATCATGAATGGCTGATAGACTATTTTTTTGGACAGTCCTGATTTAGATAAGATTGGCTTGTGGTTAAAAGAATATGATCAGCTTTTTGAACTTTTGATAGTAATTCTGGTTCAGCAAGTGCTGTCACTTTTCCCCTTCTTAAAATATGATTGGAATTGATTAGTAATGTTCAGCTTTTCGCAGAGATGGTAAATGCCATCTCTAAACTTATAGGAGATTGGTTTTATATTTAGATTTATATAACTGGTTATATTAATATATTTAAATACTGAAGAAATCCCTTCACTGTCTCAGAACCAGCAAGACTCAGCTGTGTTTCAAGTTGTGTTTGTTAGCCTGTTAAAGGCAAGGGTTGAAGATAGGCTGGCAATGTCCACTTAATCTTTTTGGTCTTAACTATGCCAATTTAATTAAAATTCTCTGCATCTAAAATGTTGCCTTTTGCTTAATGAAAGGCATTTTAGTGTGGTTTATGTTCAATATTAAAGAATATTTAACACTTCTCACATTTTATAGATGATCTGTAAGGTCAGATGCTTTTAAAATTCAGTGTGACAACATATAGCAGCAGACTTGGCTTGTGAATTCTCTACTAAGTCAGACTAAGTTATAATTCAGGATTGTCTTCTAAACAGCTATGCAAAGACACAGTTGTGGAAATACCATATATGTATGATCAGTAATGGTGCTTTTGCTAACTCGTTAGAAGGGTTAAAATAAAGAGATCTATCATCAGCACAAATTTGTAAATTATGTGATGAGGCTTGAGATAATTAAAAACAAAATCACAGATCATGATTTTTCTAATGTGCCTGATTTAATGACTGATGCCAAAATTTTGAGTAAAACCATTCCAAGTACTTGTGGAGCAGTGTTACTAGTTATAGTACTCAATTGTGTTTACTTAGTCCTCTAGGACACCCTGAACTAGAACAACACATCAGTAATTTATCTTTAGAGTTTCCTCAGCCAGAATGAGCACTGGAGTGTTTATGCCAAATGTGGATAGGATAAGGTGCTTCTAGTCATAGTTTTGAGGTATATAACTGTATAATTTGTGTACCAAGTTATTTCGTACGTGGTCCATGCCATACGATTTAGAGTAGGCCCTGGAGGTTTTATGGAGATGGTGAAATTCTCAGTGAAGGAAATCTGGTGGCGATGAGAGCTATCTCTGGGACAAGGAGAGTGGGAAGAGGCTTTGTTAATGGTTTCAAAGGTGATGGGGGTGATAGCCTGTTAAGGCTTGACAAAGCAATTTGTAACTTAAGAATCTTATTTTCAATCATCAGAGAAATGTAAGTAAGCAAAGAAGTCACGAAACATGCAGAAACAATTTGGGAAAGCAAAACAAAGCCTGCTGTAACTCAGAGGAAAAGCCTACGTAACAGAGAACTTGGTAACTGCAGAAGTTAGTGGTATTCAGAGACAGTACAGCAATTTAGCTTATAAGAATTACAGATCATTGTGGGAAGACTTGGAGGCCAGGGAGTTGATTTACTTCTGTGCCTCCTACATCAACTAAAGCCTGTGTTGGCAGAGATAATTACTAAGTACCTGCTGTGTTCTAGGCCAATTGTACTCATTAAGTGCCCCTGGTGATTTATATGTAACGTTTAAGTGATCTACAGTTAATTCGGAAGTGAGGTTCCCATCTATGAAGTATATATGCTTTCTTAGAAATAAAGAGGACAGGGACGCCTGGGTGGCTCCGTTGGTTAAGCATCTGCCTTCGGCTCAAGTCATGATCCCAAGGTCCTGGGATTGAGTCCCTGCTCAGTGGGCAGCCTGCTTCTCCATCTCCCCTGCTCTTGTGTGCTCTCCCTGATAAAATCTTTAAAAAGAAGACCAAAAAAAAGCACTGTCTAACCCATGTTTTCATTCCTATTGCTCCATTATAGGTGGCTTGGTGCTATCACAAGTGAGTCAGGTTTTTAAGGAGTGTTTCCCAAGTGCCACCTACACTGGATTTTGCACTGTCAAAGAATTTTGTGATGATGGATTGTACTTGGGCTGTCCAGTACAGTAGCCAGTAACCACATTTGGCGATTAAGCCCTTGAATTATGACTAAATTTACATAGCCATAGATGGCTACATTATAAGATTGCTGTTGAGCATTGACATCTGTGAAAGCACTTAACTGGTGAGCACTGGAATACTTTTCATTTTATAGCCATGTCAAATTCCTTGAAAGAGTGAAAATTTACCTCTTCCAAGGTTGCAGTGGTCGAATTCTCCTATCTAGTGTTCTTTCATATTCTCAATTAGCTCTGATGATCTCTAGGACTTTTGACACCCTTGACTGCTGTTATTTTAATCTCCCTTGGTTTAAGTAGTTTCCCACTCAATGTGGAATAAAATAGGCATCGTAAAGTCTTTACACACTTCGCTGTAATCTGTTGCTAACCCAAATTCATTTTTTTCACATGACATTTTGGGCAAATTCTAGCCCTGTAACTCGGATTGCTTTATAAAGTTCATTCACTTCTCAGCTTATCTTCACTACCTCATAAGGTGTATGGAACAAGTATCTTTCCTATTTTATATTTAAACAGGCTCAGAGGTTTCTGTCAAAGGTCACACAGGCATTACCTTGGAGTAGTATCACATGAACTGACCCTGCCTTTTTTACACTGTCTTCTAAAACTCCATCTCCATTTAAACCGGGTCATCTATTAGTCTCTACAGAACTCAAACTTCCTTTTCTTACTAAAGACTGCGTTCTCCAGGGACGCTTGGGTGGCTCAGTCGCTTAAGCTTCTGCCTTCGGCTTAGGTCATGATCCCAGAGTCCTGGGATTGAGTCCCACATCCAGCTCCTTGCTCAGTGGGGAGTCTGCTGCTTCTCACCTTTCCCCCTCATGCTTTGTCTCTCTCACTCTTTCTCAAATAAAATCTTAAAAAAGAAAAAAAAAAAGACTGCGTTCTCCAGGTGTCTAAACCTCTGCAGTACTTGCAGGTGGTGCCTGCTTGTCCTTTCACACTGTCCACAACAGAGGCCACTGTGGTCTTGTCATCTTCCAGATCATTACTCTTCCTCTCACAGGCAGAACTACCTGTGTGAGATTCATGATATCTTTGTGGATCCTTTTCTGTTTTCTGTACTCCTGGACCTTCCTACATTAACTGAGAATTTACGTAGTCCAACTCTTAAAAAAATTATACTGGTAATAACTACATAAAAGTGAATGAATGACCTGTCCTTAATGCAATTATAACCTCAAAAAAATTTTTTTTAAGATTTTATTTATTTGACAGAGAAACAGAGAGGGAACACAAGCAGGGAGAGTGGGAGAGGGAGAAGCAGGCTTCCCACGGAGCAGGGAACCCGATGCAGGGCTTGAATCTGGGACCCTGGGATCATGACCTAAGCTGAAGGCAGAAGCTTAACGGCTGAGCCACCCAGGCGCCCCTATAACCTCAAAATTTTTCACTTGATTTTAACTCAGTGCTTCTTTCTCCTCATTGCAACTTAAACTTGTCATTGCTCCAGAACTACTCCACTTCTGAAATTTGAAATCCCATTATACAACCTCATACTACTCCATGTCTCTCTTAATCTCTGTTTCCTTGAACTCCTCAAAACCCCAGTCCCTGATCATTCCCTTGTGGCTTTCCTTCCTTAGCCAACTTCTCTGTATCTTTTCAGTCACTGCATTGCCTGCACCCTCTACCGTTGTCATCTGTGTTGCTTTTTGGGGCATCTGCTCTATGCACACCCGGCCTGGGAGCAGCCCAGCTATCTGATTTCTCCACTTCCACACCCAATCTGAGCATTACTGGAAAAAGTCACACACATCTGCCAATTGGCACACTGTTGTAAACCTCTGATTCAACTGAACCAGCAGACACCCAGCACAACTGTCCTTATATAACCATTCTTTCCCAGTCTTCCTCATGGTTATAAAATCATGCTCCTCAAACTTATCTCTCCAGTGTTCCTTGTTCTCGTAGTAGATGGATGACCTTGCCTCCCATTTCAGATACGAATTCTTTACTTCCTGACTACAAGGAAGGGTTTCGTTGTCTCCCATCCCCCACCTTCAACAGTGTTCTTAATTCAGATATGGTTCAGAATCTTCAATTACATCAACAGGAGCTCCAGATGTGTCCCAATTCCCAACCCTCTGTCTTCTGCTTCCTCTCCCATAGAAGTTTGAAGAGGTAAATGCTTGCTTTCATTTCCATGCAGGAGCTTCACTTTGGGACCCATACTCCAACAGAAAAATACACTTACGTTCTGGAAGTTACAGCTTTTCTTAGTTTAATGAAATTGTAGCTCGGCAGGGGTAATACATTTGAACCAAGAGATAAAAAATCTTTACAATTTGGGGAGGATAGGGGAAATCTATAGGTTTTCTAAGTCACACGCCCTGAGTTGGAGCATATCATATTGTCAGATAAATTTTACTTTTGGTGAGTGTTGGAAGAAGACAGCCCAAGGATCTGAACCCTCTGCTGACGCTGCTTAATGGACTCCTGCACAGTAACACTTCTGTGCCTTAAGTTAACTCATCTGTAAACTGACAATTACAACAGGATTGTTGTAAGGATTAAACAAGAGAATGTGCTTAGCACGCTGCCTGACATTCTATACACTGAAATGATAGCTAATTTTTAATTGGATGGGCAGTACACAATTTATTAAATTAATAGCTGGACAGATTGCATGGAAGGGAGACCAAGAGGACTCCTAACTGAAGTGGTAAAATGGAAGAGAAGTGCCTAGAATCAGAGATTTGTATCCATGACTCCAGACCATAATTCTAGTAACTCACTCATGGGGTGATGCCTCATTCCCTATTCGTGACCAGGAACAAGAATCAGTGAAGTGCAACATCCATCAATTCCATTTACCTTTTTGGAGGGAGGCCTGAGATGTGATCAAAGGATTAAATGGGCACCTAATTTTCATACGCTCGTGTGTCTAGTTTTTCCAGCAACCTAGTTGTTAATGCCTACTTATTGGGATTATGCCAGTCTGCCAACTTCTGAATCTTTAAAGGTAATTTCAACAAGAAAGGAGACAAATCAAGATGGGACCATGTGCATTAAAGGCAGCTTAGAGGGCCTCCTGGGTGGCTGTTGGTTAAGCATCCAACTCTTGGTTTCAGCTCAGGTCATGACGTCTCGCTCCTGGGATCGAGCCCCACATTGGGCTCTGAGCTCAGCTCAGATTCTCTTTCCCTCTCCCTTCTGCTAACACTCTCTCTCTCAAATAAGTAATAATAATAATAAAGGCAGCTTAGAGGACAATGTTTAGGAGGCTGACTCCAGCCCTCCACTGTTCCACCTCCCAGGATTTATCTGGAGGCTTAATCCAGGTCATAGTAAGATACCACCAGCAAGTCCCTTGCCTGTGAAGAACTAGTGCTTCTGTTTCCTGTCTTGGCACAGCGGTTACAACTTGTCATGAGCAATATTCAGTCGTTGTATTTTTAAAGAATGTTGATTCTGGAAACCAGCACCTTGTATAATTCTTGGATGGGTCATGTGTGATGTAACAAAATATCACTATTCTAGCCAAACAAACACGTACCCAGGTTAGAGACAGTATGGGAAGAGATCTGTGGGAAAGATTTTTTTTAAAGATTTTTATTTATTTATTTATCAGAGAGAGAGCATGCACAAGCAGGGGGAGCGGCAGGCAGTGGGAGAAGCAGGCTTCCCACTGAGGAGGGGGCCTGATGCAGAACTCTATCCCAGGACCCTGGGATCATGAACCTGAGCCGAAGGCAGACGCTTAATTGACTGAGCCACCAGGCGTCCCTGTGGGAAAGATTTTTAATTTGTGAGTCTCCTGAATCAGAGTAGGTTAAGATATTTGGTTTTTTGGTATGTACATAATATTAGGGGGGAAAGGGATTTTAAAGAACCAGTGTTTCGTGGAAAAACAGGAAGGGCCTGCTCACTTTGCCCCTTTCCAACGTGATATCTCTCAAGATAAAGTACTGTAAATCAAGGTAAGGTAAAGACTCCAGTGCTCTTTTATAGCATAACAAAACAAAAGGTAGCTTGCATATGCCAACTTCTTTTTGTAGATACCCTACCTGAAAATTCTGATAGCTTTCTTTCTATTTTCCATCCTAAAGTTGATGAAGCAGTTCACAACCAAGGCCTCTATTGGAAGATACAAGAGAATTCAGGTAAGGTGTGTGATTTTCTAAAAAACCCTCTTAGCTGGAGCAGTTGCCTCCTTTACCCTTGCTCATTCTCCAGCAGAATATCTTGAAAGTAGACAGCTAATGACTTTACCCTTGGCCTTTTACATGCAGGTGCAATTTCTGAGTCCAGCTACTTTTTGACAGGGAACTGCCCTCCAGGATACCGCTCCAAACTCCTCACCCTTGGTTCGTTTCCTCTTTCACTGATCATTCCTTCTCAGCCTCATTTGTAGAGTTTTTTGGTTGTGTGTGTGTGTGTGTGTGTGTGTGTGTTGTCCATTCTCAAAGAGACTGCTCTTTGCCTATTTGATACCCATTCTCCCCTTCATTTTTAGTAACAGAACCTTAATTTTCTTTTCTTTTTTTTAGGGTGGTAATATACCTATAAAAGACTACACTCTCCAACTTCCCTAGGTGCGGTCAGTGGGTCACGTGGAAGTCAGTTGGGTGGGACTTAACAAGAAATCTCTAGAGAGATCTGACTCAGCTAGAAGGATTGCCCTTTTACCCCTTCTCTTCTTCCTGCCTAGAAACTAGATAAGATGGCCAAACCCTGGCAGCCATTTTTGACTATGTTGCATCATTGAAGATGGAAGCCATATACCTTAGGATGGTGGAGCAGAAAGATAGAGAGGGAACTAGCACATTGGTGATGTGGTCAAAGTGCCATACTAACCCAGACTTCTTTAATAGTTTAATAAACTTCCTTTTTATTTAAGCCATTGTTACTTAAGTTTCTGTTATATGCAGCTGATTCTAATCCTAACGGATGCCCACCCCTTATAATGTCAGTGCCCCCCACAGTTACATCTTTGATGTTTTTCTTTACATTTCCCCCTTTGGCATATCTACACACATGCCAGTGACTTCGTATCTATAACTACAGTCCAAATCCCTCTCGAGCTCAAAAGCCATATGCTCAACTGCCTTTTAGACATCTTTATTTGGATTACCCCCTAGGCACTGTGGTAGGCTGAAAAAGGGCCACCCAAATATGTCCATGCCCTAATCCCTGGAATCTATGACTGCTACCTTATATGGCAAAAGGGACCTTACAAATGTGATCAAGTTAAGGATTTGAGATGGAGAATTTATCCTGAATTATTTGGATGGGCTTGATGAGTCAGAGAAGAAGGCAACGTGACAATGGAAGCAGAGATTGGAGTGATGTGGCCACAAACCAAGAAATGCTGACAGCCTCTAGAAGCTGGAAGAGACAAGGAATGGATTCCCCTTTTGAATCTCCAGAAGGAACCAGCCCTTCCAACACTTTGATTTTAGCCCACTGAGACCCATTTTGGAATTCTGACCTCCAGAACCATAAGATATAAAGTTTATGGTAATTTATTACAATGGCAATAGGAAACTGATAGAGGCACCTCAAACCTAACATATCCTAAAATAAATTCATTAACTTTCCCCCAAAACCTGATCCTTTTCCTATCTTGAGTATTATAGCATCCAAAATATGAAATATATGAAGTTAGTCGTATATCCTAGATTTGCCCCACTCTATCATCCTTCACTCATCACTTTGTATTTTCATTTCTATGTATTAACTGTCATTCAAATCAGTTCCTAATTTGTCTGCATTATCTTCCATCTGTATTATTATAGTAGCACAATGGTTCTCAACTGGGGGTAAATGTGCCACCTTGGGCAGAGGAGGGGGACATTTGGCAAATGTCTGGAGACATCTTTGGTTGTTACCACTATGCAGAGATGCTATTGGCTGGCATCAAGTGGGTAGAGGCCAAGGATGCTACTGAACATCCTAGAGTTCTCTGAACAGCACCCACAACAAAGAATTCTTTGGCCTAAAATGTTAATACTGCCAAGATTGAGAAAGCCTGCCATAGTCTTAAAACTAGTTTCCTTGCCTCCTATCTTAAACCACTCCAGTCACGATCATTACAATTTCCAGTTCCCTGGTGAAATCTACAGGCATATCTTATTTTATTGCACTTTGCAGGTACTACTTTTTTTTTTTTTTTTTTTTTACAAATTGAAGGTCTGTGGCAACTCTGCTTCAAGCAAGTCTATTGGCACAATTTTCCAACAGCATTTGCTCATTTTGTGTCTCTGTATCACACTTTGGTAATTCTTGCAATATTTCAAACTTTTACCATATTATTATATTTGTTACGGTGATCTGTGATCAGTGATCTTTGATGTTACTTTATAATTGTTTTGGGGTGCCAGAAACCACACCCATTTAAGATGGAGAAACTTAATTGAGAAGTGTGTATATTCTTATTGCTCCACTTGTTGTTTCCCCGTCTCTCTCCTTCTCCTCAGGCCCCCTTTTCCCCAAGACAGCAGTATTGAAGTTTGGCCAGTTAATAACCCTACAATGGACTCTAAGTGTTCAAGTGAAAGAAAGAGTCAGTCTCTCACTTTAAATCAAAAGCTAGCGATGTCTGAGCTTAGTGAGGAAGGCATGTCCTAAAAGCTGAGATAGGCCAAAAGCTAGGCCTCTTGTGCCAAATAGTAAAGTTGTGAATGCAAAGGAAAAGATGAGGAGTTGCTTCTTATGGATGAGCAAAGAAAGTAGTTGCTTGAGATTGAATCTATCTACTCCTGGTGAGGATGCTGTGAAGATTGTTGAAATGACAACAAAGATTTGGAATAGTACGTAAACTTAGTTGATAAAGCAGTGGGAGGGTTTGAGAGGATTGACTCCAATTTTGAAAGTTCTACAGTGAAAGGAAGAGTCAGTTGATGCAGCAAACCTCACTGTTGTCTTATCTGAAGAAATTGCCACAGCCATCCGACCTTCAGCAACCACTAGCGTATCAGGCAGCAGCCATCAACATGGAGGCAAGAGCTTCTACCAGCAAAAGGATTACAGTTCACTGAAAGCATTTTTTAGCAATAAAGTTTTTTTTTTTTTTTTCAGATTTTATGTGTAAGTGATCTCCACACCCAACATGGGGCTCAACCCACACCCTGAGGTCAAGAGTCACACACTCTACCTACTGAACCAGCCAGGTGCCCCAGCAATAAAGTATTTTTAATTAACGTATGTACATATTTTTTTTTTTAATTTTATTTATTTATTTGAGACAGAGAGAATGAGAGACAGAGAGCATGAGAGGGAGGAGGGTCAGAGGGAGAAGCAGGCTCCCTGCTGAGC